ATATAATATTGACTATTAGTCAATGCATGACTAATGAGCATGACTATTAATCTCTCAATAATATATCCCAATCATATTTCATCCCAAAATCAAAAGAATAATTTTTTTAAATTATATTTTGCATAATGAAAATAAAATTATATTTTGCATAATAATAATGATAATTAAGAAATTATAATAATTATAAGAAATTATTATAATGAAAAAAGTAATGGTCATAAAAATCATTTTCATTATGAGCAGTATAATGTCTTAATTATCATTATTATTAATAATAATAATAATTTAATGTTCATATTTAATGTTAACTTAATATTAAATATTTGATATATTTTTGTAATATTAAAATGTAATTTTAACTCTATTACAATAATGGCAATTAAGAATCACTGTGCAATACTGGAAATACTGTAAAACAAACTCAAATTGCATCCATTGCATATTTACTGTTAAAGTCAACATGAAACAAGAATGAGTGCATACTATCCTCCTCCCACAAACCCCCTGTATTTTAGAAGTCAAATTGGATGTGAACAGTTTCATGTTGACTTACACAAATATTAAGGGACACAAAAGGCACCCACTTTATCACTCTTGTGGATTATATAAACTTATTTAGGTACATTTAAATTAAAACCGTGTTCAAACGCTGAGATGTTCTCCTCTCTCATGTCTTCACCCCAGTGAATCCTCAGCCAGAAGCGCAGACTCTGTCGACAGTGACCGTGTCAGAGTCCACCACTAACAGTGTGCGTGTGAGCTGGGGTCCACTGCTGCCTCACCTCATACAGGGCTACCAGCTGGAGTATTCAGCGCTTCCTACAGGCCCGCTGCGGGTCATCAGCATCAGTAACAGACAGAACACCACAGTCCTGACCGGCCTCCAGCCCGACACACAGTACCTGGTCACCGTGAGCGCGAGACAGTCCTCCGGCAGAGAGAGAGCCATGACGGTTAAAGTCTGTACACAGGAAGGTAAGAACCAACAGATTACACATCTCATTATCAGTGCACTTTCCTTTTGTAGTAAAATTACAGATTGCAGTTATATGAATTTAAGTTCACTTTAGTTCTGCTTCCTTAAACTCAAATGGCAATTCTTCTTTAAATACAGGAAATGAATTAGAATGTATAAAGCATTCTCAATTTAATTTATAAAATGGAGATATCTAGTTATTAGTTACTTATTTGTCATTCTGATGAATTCATTTGGTTTCTATAGACTGCTGATGTATTTTTGTAGGCCAACCTGGAAGTTAGCATCACTTCTTGGTTCCCTCGACAAAATACCAATAGGAGTTCTGTGACCAACAAAAGTTTATAATTCTTACAAGTTTTATTAAGATAATCTTTACAAATGAACACAACTTTTATGAATTTTGATGAATTAGGCTATAAACGGTCTGTAATATTTTTCAATGTTTTTGAAAGAAGTCTCTTTTGCTCACCAAGGCTGCATTTATTTGATCACAAAATTCAGTAAAAACAGTAAAAATGTGAAATATTACTATAACTTCAAATAACTGTTTTCTGTTGTAATATATGTTAACATTTAATTTATATCTGTGATGCAAAGCTGAATTTTCAGCATCATTACTCCAGTCTTCAGTGTCTCATGATCCTTCACAAATCATTCTAATATGCTGATTTGCTGCTCAATCTTTTGTAACATTATAAATGTCTTTACTGTCCCTTTTGATCAATTTAATGCATTCTTTCTGAATAAAATTTATAATTTATTTCTATATATATATATATATATATATATATATATTGGACTGACACCAAACGGTCATGTAATAAAAATTATTAATGATGCAAATACATTTTCATTGAAATATTGATAACGTGTAGTATTTGCTAAGAATTAGAAGCATTTGGAATGAGATGCTTTCCAATGAGACCACCCTATTTTAATGTTCCTGCCAATTTAATTCCCACATCCCCTCCCTCTGATTCCCAGCAAGAAACGGGAAGCCTGACCTCTCTCCGTTTCTCTCAGTGTTGCCAGCTCTCTCAGATCTGCAGCTGACCACAGTGGGCAATGAGTCAGTGCAGCTCCGCTGGAAGGGGAGTTATGATGGTCTCCGTGGTTACTGGGTCACATGGGAGCGAGGTCACAGCCAGCACTCCACCCTGTACCTACCACCCAACCGGCTCTCCACCACCCTCAACCATGTGCCCTCCAGGGCCCGCGTCTGCGTCTCTCCGGTGTACCGGACGGCCCGTGGGGAGGGACTCTGCTGCACTGCTTAAATGGGCTCCGGTGAGACGCCTGTCAGGGAAACACGGGGATTATGGGTTATTTTAAACAATAAGCATCTTAAAGTTGCAGTATGTAATTTTTTAAATGTACTAAAGCATAAAAATACCATAATATGATTGCTTCTCTGAAAAACAACATTACAACTAGTTATTCCACTTTGAAATGAAAGAAGTCTCTTTTGCTCACCAAGGCTGCATTTATTTGATCACAAAATTCAGTAAAAACAGTAAAAATGTGAAATATTACTATAACTTCAAATAACTGTTTTCTGTTGTAATATATGTTAACATTGTGTCGGAATGTCTGTTTTTGTTTTGGTCTGTGTGATTCCGTCCACTGCCAATTTAACCAATGGTATTTTCGACACCCCGGTTTGCCAGTTGGCGGAAAACACAGTGTATTGCAGCCACGGAAGCCAGCAAAAGAACTGGGTAAAAGATCGCAGATTCTACCTTACCTTAAAAAGCCTCGGGCATCCATTTAAAACATACTTTGAGAAAAGGCATAATAAAACGCGGATAAATAAACGCATCAACTTAAAGTATAAGGCTTGTCGCTATTGTTTCTGTTGCGAGTCCTCAATCTGGCAGCCCGTGAGATTGTTGATTCTGAGGAAGAGGGGGTGGGAGAAACGACTCTCTGTAATATTTTGAATTTGGACTGCAGTTCCCATTTCAACCGCTAGCTATCAATATTACATACCGCACCTTTAACCCTGTAAAGCCTGGCATAAGAAATAATAGCCTGAAAAAAGCAACTTAATTGAATCGTAGACAAAACCATAAAACACCTACACAAAAAAGTTTGCATGTATTTTTTGTTGAGTATCTTATTTATCAGGCAAATAGGAGAATGTGGAGGTCAAGCAAACCCAAGTTGCTTCAGCCCATCTTGAAATATTACTAACAATATTAAAGTTATTCTTGTTTACTTTATAAAAATCAGTAAATAATTCACAGCAAAAAGAAACGTGAACCACAACCTGAAGGGGGACTTTCTTACAATGATACTTTTTTACTTGCTAAAAAAGTATAAACTATCATTTAGATGAATGAAGGCATGTAGTAGGTTGTGTACAGCAGGGTTTTTTTAGCAAAGTTTGATGTTGATCATTTAGAGACCTTTGCGTATCAAATATGATACTGTAGGCTTTTTAGGGTTAAAAGGTGAAGTGAGTAATTTTACCACAGAATTGCATTTGTAATAACAACAGCACCTTCTGTTTGTGTTACCGTACAGCTGCGTTGACCTGGAACTGTGGTGCACCGCTCTGCCAAACACGAAAGATGGAGGGATGAGCAACACCAAAAACTTCCCACAAATGGACAGATGGGAGGACAAGGGAGTCCAGGAAACTGTAGCTGTTTGAATATTCATCACCCATAGATGGTGATCTTTAAACACCCCAACACAACATGCACTGACACGCAAACCCCAAACCACACTTCTAATATAGGAGACTAAATGAGTCTGAACTCAAAAGTGACCTTCTGAAGAATCAGAGATTCAAAGGAAAGTTTTGGGTTCAAGTTCAGTGCTATTGACGGCTGAGATCTGTGGCTTGCTGTGCATTGCCGTAGACCATTTTTGAGTTTATATCTCGCAATTTATATCTTGAGTTTGTTTCTTGCAATTCTGAGGAAAAATAAGAATTGCGAGATATAATCTCACAATTCTTTTTTCTCACAACTGAGATTATATCTGACAAATGTTTTTTTTTTAATCAGAATTCTGTGTTTACATCGATATGGAATTTTAAAAAAAATTGTTGCTTTTTCCTTGCAATTGCAATATTCTATTTCACAATTTGTTTCTCGCAATTCTGAAGAAAAAAGTAAGAATTGCATGATATAAACAGAATTGGGAGATATAAACTCATAATTCTTTCCACCACAGAAAGAAAATAATAAATAAAACAGTTAATTGAAAGCTTTTTTTCTTGCAATTGCAAGTTTATATCCCACAGTTCAGATTTTTTTTCTAAAAATTGCGAGAAAAAAATCGGAATTGTGAGATAAAAAAAAAAAGTCACAAGTACCTTTTTTATTGCATGGCAGAAACAAGCTGCCATACATTTACAGTAATGCACTTATAATAGAAGTCTATGGGGCAAGACATTAAACAGTCTATTGTTCGTATCTTTACGCATTTTGAGAGAAAGTTACAGGGTTTACCGACTTTATATGGTCATGAGAGAAAGACGGATTATTACTTTGACTATAACAGACAAAATTACAAATTTTAACATGCGGCTATATTTAAAACTGTGTGTATTTTAACATTTATGTGCAGTTTCTTTTACCAAAGACTTCTTTTACCAAAGACTGAACCCATGATATTCCTTTAAATTGCCAGAATGTTTACGTATTAGAAATGTACGTTTTTATTAAGAGTTATATCGCCAAAGCAATAGTTTGTAAATATCCTACTAATGCTTTTTGAGTTATATTTATCAGAGATGTAGTTGGTTACTGTATATTCGAGATTTTGAAATGGGAACAATGAGACAGTTTTAGGGGGAATCTGAATGGCTTCCATCACTGGTTTTTCTTTAAGGTCAATGCATATATTGTAACCCTGCTTGAGTTACACACGTTACCATAACTGCAGATTTGGTCAGCCGTGAAACTCTGAAAACTGGCACGGATCTTAATCACTGTGGCTAAAGTACTAAGACTTCGCAGATGTTTTGTGGTCCAAAAGGGCCATGACTGGTTTGTTTGAAGAAAAGTGACTCTTTCAGTGGGTCAAGCTTTTCCCTGTGCATGCAGACTGTAGCTTGGATTTATCATTTATAGTAATGTTTTTCTCTGTAGTTGTGTCTTAACAGGCAAACATATGTTCGCAGGCTGGATCAAGGTCTTAGGGATAGATCATTTCATTCATAGTCTTTAATGATAGTTTTCATCCCATTTCAGGGTCATTATGAAAGAGTTTGTAGCTATTCAAAAAATTCAGCATCTGATATTTTGTCTGTTTGTTGCAACATAATGGCAAGTTGGGCTTTCTGCATTATGAAAAGGTGCTTGTTCATTCCCAGCTTGGCTGCACGTCTTACACGTCACTGTTTTCAAAAAGTTTTTAGTTATTAAATAATAAAAAAGGATCTATTTCAATCCATGTCTGCTTTTGTTTCTAAAACTCTGTGTACAGTAATGTGTAATATTTATGCTTTTTATTTTATCTTAGATTTTATGATATTTAATTGCTAAACAAGAATATAATTTATTATTTAACATTTCATTTATATATATATATATATATATATATATACACAACACCTTTGCCTTGCCAGGAAAAAAATGACACATGCATGTATAGTCCTATGCTTAATGTATTCAGTGACATTTCACCCCAAAATAGAAAAAAAAAGAAAGAAAATCAAACCTGTTATTGGACCATAAAGTTTTTTGTGCCCAAATTATTGCAATGTCTTTTAGAAATATATATATATATATATTTTTTTTTTTTTTTGGTATTACCACTATTTTTGTCATTAGATTCTCATTACAAAAACAAATTTTTTATTACCGTAATACAGTAATTTGTAATGTTATAGTTAAAAAATTTATACATTCTTAAATTAATAATTTTGCTTCACAGTAATTTTTTTTTTTTGCTTAAGCAAAATATAATTTCTATTTTGAAGTGAAAAATGACCTGTTCTTGACCAATTTCCTGAGATTCACCCATTTTAGAGAATAATATTTAATAGTACACCATTGAAAATGTTTATTTATAGAATTCCACTGCAGAATATGAAGTTGCCCAACTGTTTGAAAACGCTAAATTAAAACACTGATCATTCGAATGCAGAAACTGAATGTAGAAACAGAACCGACAGGCTTAAACAGTGGTCCATTATTAATCTTCAACTCTTTCTCCTCTCAATATTTTGGTTCCCTTTCCAAGTGTTCTTTGGCTGAGCTCAGATGGGTCAACTGAAATTAATGAGGGTTAATATTTGACTATAAATGCAGTCGCCAGCAATCTCAAGCACAGCTTACAGCCTTGACGTCCTCCTTGTGCTAAAGAAAAGCACCATCAATCATACAACACAGTTTCTTGTACATTTAAACTATTAAGTTTCTAGATCATTACACAGTGTACAGACCACCTAAAATAGTTTCCCATGTTTGCTCTAGATGCTCAGGGTGCTGAGCGCTGGCACAAGAGTGACGGCTTCAGGTATGTTCTGATTTTGATCATGTGACCCTCTGCCCTGTAAAACCTTCTGTCTATGTCTCTCCTCCTGACGTTTCTTCTTTTCTAGGCGCTGTTGCTCTTTCCTTTGTTTATTAGAGAGCTAAAA